GCTCAGAGCTCGCTCAGCGGGCTCGAAGGGGTTTGCGTCGCGTGCGGTTTTGGTGTTCGCGATGGACGCCTTTGCAAGCCCGAGGCCCCAAGTTGGAAGTTCCTCGCTCGAGCTGGACTTGTCGGACTTGGGAAGACCTTCTTAGTGTGTCCACCCAACGTGTGGGAGGTCCTTGAAACTTCCCCTAAAGTCCGGCAAGAAAGGGGCCTTCTCAATGTTGACCCCGGATGAATAAACCCCTGTTGATTCATATGGGGGTGTCCCTGGTTTTAGCGGGGAGTTGTAGCAGTTTTGGAGGGGCCCCCACCCCCAAATTGACAACCAGGGGTTTATGAATCCGGGGTCAACATTCGGAGTGTGTCCCCCAAATTGCTGGAGGTCCTTTGCACCCCCAGCCACAGCCACTGGTGAAGAAACAGCCTCTCAGTTCAATGGGTGCCACCCTCTTGGTTCAAAGTTACCTAAGATCCTCGTGTGGCACCGATTCGTTTTCCCGGCTTCACAAAAAGAGTCGTCAACCCCGAAAAGGGTTCCCTGATCTATCGCCACTCGTCCTTGGGCCAGTGGTTTCCCCGTTGCAGTGGCGCACCGAGGGATCTCTCCATTCTACACATGTCTGAACGCCGTTTGCCTCTGGAGAGCTCTTTGAGCCGGAAAGAAAAAAACAGCGAGCGAACACTCATGTGGCTTTGGGTCAAAACCAATTGTACCATGTTGGGGTAGGGCACCACCCATTTTAGTGTATTTTAGTGGGGATTGGGAGGTTCACTGGGGGTAACCGGGATTTTGACCCATGGCCATGTCGGTGGTTCAACCTTGGGGATATCTCGAATTTTAGTTTCGGTATTGTCCTAGCAAAGTGAAAGGGGAGCCAGCGGAGGTTGGTTCGTTGTGGAGGCCTGGGCTTTTTACATCATAACCAACTAGAATTCACAAGGTCTTTCGGAACCCTTTCGTGGGTATGATTGCAGCTTGAAACGACTCAAGTGAATCGTGGGCCTAGGCCTAGAGCCCTCGGTGGTGGAGGCGCTGGAGACGTCTGCACCATGGTTGTTGGATCCAAATGGCCCAAGCCCTACCAGTCGGGAGCCCTGGCGGTGGCCCGACCCTCACTTGCGGAAACTTGAGACCAAAGCCAAGTCGTTGACCTCTTCCCTGGCTCGTGCGCTGTGGATCCAAGACCCTATTCAACAGGGGCTCCAGTTCAAGAATACCCTCGGGTGCGGGTGCGAGTGAAGCACAGGTGCATCTTGATGCTCAGCTGAGATGTAACATGTATATTATATATATATATATATCATATTATATTACATGATGTTATATTATATATATTGTAATATAAATATGAGTTTGTATTATGTTATTTTATGCCATGACATGATATATTATTGTATGTTGTGATGTGCCATGTTTTGGTATGTTGTGATGGTATTTGTGTTGCTATACTCTATTTTATTATGAAGTATTATGTTATATGCCAGTATATACATTATTACACACACACACATTGAGATATGTATGCGCATGCAGCAGCTTAGCACTTATACATCCATGTACATGTTAAACACATACATGTACATAGGCGTACATTCATCTACACATGCAGGTGCGTATTTACAAAATGATCAATGACAGACATACTTGCCTGTGAGTCTTTGGCATACTCGATTTGTGGTGTAGACGCTGGGACCCCACATGCTTCTCGCAAAGTCAATCCTACAGTCACAAGGTTGTCAGAGCTCAATCAGACCCCCCTCTAACAAGGTTCTAAGATCCTTTGTGGGGGGGGGGTCTTTGGTTCTTTCCCAAGCCAAGAGCACACCGCTTTTTGGTACCATGCATTTCCAGTTGATAGGATTATCGTGGAACTGATTGCAGCACGCCAAAATGCCGAATACCCAACCAGAAGACGCACAAATGTTGGCTGCGGATTCATCAACGGCACTGTTCCCGCCAAGAAAACGGAAGCATCCGCCCACGCGAGACACACTCCGATGAGTCAATCAGGGATTGAATGGGTCAACAGAAACTTGCAGGAGCTTTCTCCCCAAGATTACCAGACGTGGAGAATATCGGGGAACGCTTTCCCTTTCCCCTTTTCAACCATTCTACCCCTGTACTGAACGCCCGGCGAGCGGCGAAGAGCCTTCCTCGCCTTTGCCAAGGTCAACGCAATGTCGGAAGTCCAAAAACTCAAGGCGAGTCCCCGATTTCGTCGGCTGCAGCGAAATGACCTTTCGGTTTTGCCAGGTTGGCTCATTTTGAACGGAACTGCGGGCCACTTTCTTTGTTTTGTTTACTACTTGTTCCATACCCATTTGTTTTGTTGGTTTCTGGAAACGCATGTTTGGCGTTTCCAGTTTGGTTGTACAGCACGGGTTCCCCAACAAGTCAAGGACCCAATCAAGATTGGGTTGTCCCAAAAAATCACCTTCTGAGAATTTCACGCGGCGAAGCATTTCGTGGGAAAATCATGGGGAATGGAGGGAGGTTGCCAAACCTGGGCCCTCCGAACCTGAGAACCTTTCAAGATCTGAATGCCTCTGGGGGGCTCTTGGTTTTGTAGCGTACAAGCCGAGCCGGAGCTTTCGGAACTTTTTCAGGCATGTACGTGAGTTCTACCCAGGCAACGACCCTCGCCCGGACAACATGTTTTGGTGCACGCAGCCCTTTTGGAAGATTACGTTTGGCAAAGATGGCTGTGTACTTCATGACTTTTTGTGAGAAGGTAAAATAGGTGACCAGGGATGTACTGGGTGTGTCTTTTTTTGCAGGCCCCTTCCCCCTGGTTTTCCTTTTGGGCTCCCTTTGGAACCACAAAACAGGGACCCTCAAAAAGACACGCCGCAGCTGTAGTTTCTTGGGTGTTTCCCTGGATACTGTAGGGGGTAACCGGAAGCACTTAGCCACTTTGCGTTGGAGCCGTGATCTTCAAAATCGACAGGCGAAGCAGTTGGTTTTCCCGTTCCGGGCTCCGATTCGGGCTTTCCCTCGGTGAACAACGCCTCGCTTGTTTCAGATCAGCTTGAACGGATATTCAAAAGGTTTGCTTCGAATAGCTGAGGTGAAATTTTACCTGAACCGTTTCCAGCTTCTGCTTCCATTTTCTCAGGAATACAGGCGGCCAGCCAGAGCCCCAGACTCCCTAAATGTCTGGCCGAGAGGGAAGGATCATAGCGCGGTTCCCGAAACAAGGCCCAGGACCGAGCAGTTTTTCTGATACAAGTGAAACCATGCTGATTCTCACGGGAAGTGTTATCTGGTGGTTGCTGGATCTCTGGAAGGAAGGATCCCACAGACGAGAAAGCAGTTTCGAGCTCACCGATTCGGACTCGTAAACGAGCTCACCCATGAAGGTGTCCAGTTCTGGAGCCAGACATTTGCCCACTCGTTTCTCATGTTGAGCCGTCTTCGAAGAGTGCAAGATGGAACAGCCCATCAATTTGCCCCACGGCATCTTAAAGTCGCCAAGTGGTTCCAAGGTGACTGACTTTGGGTATGTTGTTTATTCAGGGCACGCCCCTTTGTTGCCAGCTGCTTAGGGAAACCAGTTCCAGGATACCATCTTTAGGTTCCGAGGAAAGGACACCCTTGCACTTTCACTCGTAAGACGGTGCAGTAATGGTCCAGTATCACAGTTGCATCATGCCAAATCTCAATCCCAAATTTCGACAGGGCGCACACCACACCCAACCCAATCCGGGATGCTTTGGGTTGTAATCGATGGCGATTTCGCAAGCACTGGCTTTTCCTTGTTGATGAGGATCCTCGCTTTGCCCAGTGTGTTGTCACAGGTGAATAATGCGTAAGCTGGGGGGCGGGTTAGGGGTACCCGTTGTCTTGTCTGTGACACCAAAGGGAAACTGCCCAAATGCGCCGTTTGGAGGTGGGCTCTCAGAAAGCACGAGCGCCACCTAGAAGGTTCAACGATTTGAGACATGGTGCGTCAGACCCCAGCAAAACAAAACAGGTTTTCCTCAGTGGTGTCCCGGTTAAAGCTGCCCGAAACATGTACCTGGCCCCTCAAACTATTCTTCAACGTTACGGCATGATGTGATTTTTTGTTGGGTCCAAAACATCATCTTCGCATGTTTTCCCCTTGTAAGGGCGGTACCTTATGGCCTGACATAAGAAGTCTCCCCGTCGCAACCTGCCTGAGACCTGGCTCTGGACCCTGCCAGGGCCTTTCAAATCTCCCAAAGTGCCAGTGCTCGAAGCCGTTTCGATGGACGCGGATGCTTTAAAAGAAACCTCCAAACCTAGAGTCTCCATGACCCCTAGAAAAAGGGGTCACAACCCCTTAATTTGGGGTAATGCGCCCATGTTTAAAAGGGTCATGGAGACTCCAGAAAAGTGCCTTTTTCCCCGTGGAAGCCAGCAGTAAGCCCAACCGTCGGGCAAGTCGCCAGTCTTCGCCTGCTAAACAAATTGCCGTCTGAGGCCTTCAGCTTCCGACAGGCTGGCAGAATGGAGGATGCGAGACGGCGCAAAGGGTGTGGCTCAAAAGTCGGGAGCTTGGGTCACGCAGGTTTTAGTCTTTGGTTCCATGTACCAAGGTGCCATGTTCGTACCTTTTTTGAGCCACCGACATGTGGGGAATCCTCAATTTGGAGCCCTGTTGAAGTTTTACGAACCCACAAACTTCCGTTTCAGTGTGATGGTTCCTTAGTTTTACATCAATATTATATATCTCTACTGGACATATGGTTCGTTTTTGTTTGCAGGGGACGTAAGCAGATGGAGGAAAAACGTACAATCAGACCCAAAGTTCCTGGAACCCCTGCAGCAGGGAAGCTGCTTTTGGACGGGTTTGGCTGTTGATGGGGACTCTCCTCGACCATGGTTGGCAATCCTCGCAAACATGTGGCTTTGGGTCAAAAATTGTCAAAAATAGGTTCCCAAAATGGAACCTTAGTAAGTGGAAACATGGACTAAAACCTGCGGTCCCCTAGTGGTTTAATTTTGACCCACACCCATGTGGAGAAATGATGAACCAAGGG